GACAGATCACCAGTTAGAGTGTTTTCAGGGTTTGCCTCTTGCCACGTTGTGTGGGGAAAATAGATCTCGATTAGTGGCCTGAATGTGAAACCCTTGTCTAATGAGTCTATTTGCAATGCTTTATCTTCAAACCGCCGGGCCCGAAACCAGCAAACCACCAATTGGAAACAATGTTGTTTAGCAAGCGGGGCAGGGTTGAGGTCGCTTCAATTTCTCGGCGCATTCCAGCTCTACAGCTACCGCTGGTAAGTCGTTCAGCACCGACTTCAACATTCACAGGTTTCCATGGTAGGCCTCGGGATAGGATAGTACACCTAAGTCGGTATTTAGCGTATAAGTGTGCCCCTCACTCGTTCTTGTGTCGTAGGAGTCACGTGCTGACTGACGATTTGAACTCATTTGTTGCTTTCCATAGCTTATATGATCACCAGCTCAACGCATCTCGTTGGAGTGTGTCTTTTTGAGCAAGAAACCAAATGTAAACCAAGCCCCATTATTGATGCTGAGGCAAACTCGTTTCTGGGCAGCGCCTCACGCTGCAAACTTAGCATCCCTTCAGAGCCCAGCCTTGCACCGATGCAAACAGCAAGGGAACGTGATTCTGTGGGTGTTTCTCAAAGGGAACCCCTCAAAATAGTGGGTTATCTTTTCTCCGCCACTTAAACTAGTGAACACAAATCTCCATAGCAAGGCCGCTTAAATTGGTTTGGGTTCCTGGATGTTCTTCAGCATTTGTTGGGACCAGTTTCTTTCCTGGTGCAACGGCATCCTCTTCTTGTTCCCTTTTCCATGTCTGCAGTCGCCACCGCAAAACAGCCAGCAAACATGGCCGACTGGAGGTGGAAATAGGGAGCCTGTGCAAGATGTATAGATAATTCGTCACAGCAACGCAGAGTTGCTGGTGCGGAATTGTGCACGGAAGGCCACCTGGGCAACAATGCTTGAGGGATGCATTTTGTGATTCATATTCTCCTCAAAGTTGTCACGGGATCCACGTCTATTAGAGGTATTGAGCTGAATGCCAAGAGGCAGCACGCCAGCCAAACTTTGCTCTTTGGATGCTTGATCAAGGCTTGTTACTAGTTACCTTCATTTTAATTCGAGCGGTGATGTGTCAAAGCTGCTTCCTTCTACAAACAAAAAGCCAAACAAGAAGGAGCCCAAACCACTCATTTTCACAGAAGCCGGCCTTCCCGGCACCGAATTCAGAGAGAGCACGTCAAAGGCCGAACGACCGCCCCCCAAAACGGGGTGCCGCGGTCCTTACGCTGGGGTGGTTGGCCCTGGCCGGCCAGTTTTCGGATGGAAGCCGCGACCCTTTGTACTTTCGGGAAAACCCTTTTAGTGGCACGCAAAAAGTTGGACCTGTTTGGCCAACCGCGGGAAACGACCCCCCGTGTGAATCAACAAGCTTTCACGTGTTTGCAGCGCACTGCAATCAACAGCTTGCTGCTTGCAATGAGACAGAAGCAGCTAACCGACTGAGGGGTACGCTTCCATCAGCTTGCATCCAGACCCTGCGTTGTACCATTTCAGCAGAGATTTAGGCTTTCCGGCCGTGAAAAAGCCTTTGGCGTTCAGTTTGACCTTTTAACTTATTGAGCTCCTGATTTTGGGCACTTAACTTTCATGTGCCGGTCTTGGAGCAAGAGACATAGGCTTTGACCCTTGTTGGCCGTTTTCGACTCTGTGATGCCTTGAAAGATCTCGGAGCCAAAAGGGTTGACGTTTCGTGCAGCTTGTTGTTCTCCTGATCCTTCGCGGTGGATGGAGCAAGTAGAGCATGGATGCGTGGCAATACCCAGGCGGGATTAATCCGTTGATGAATAGGGGACGCACGCCCGGCTTCCCTGGCCAACAGACGTTTGTCAGACGAATCAAGGAATTTGTCACAACGCACAGAGTTTAGCATATGTGCAGAATTTCAGGGACCGTGTTCGAGGTGGAAGTGGCCAACAAATTGGCATGTTGGCATCCATCCGACAACGGCGCAACACCTTTTCATTTGGTTGTATCTTGTGTTTGGAATGATAACCCCCAGAGACCTGAATCAGCTGGAAAACCTTAATCCCGGTTTGGTGGCTTTCCCAAACAAGCAGAGAAGGACTACAGGCTGGTTTTCATCATGGCATTCCCCAAAACAAACATCGCCGTGGTTCCCCCAACCAGGATGAATCGGGATTTTCAACACAGTACAAGTGTCAAGTCATTGGGGTAATTGGAGCTGCATCACAGGGTCGGTGTGAGGCCCAACCCCAAGTACCGCCAGCTTTGGCGGAAGCTCGGCCCGGGGCCAAGTGGGAGAGAAACATCACACCACCTTTTGTTTTTTTCTCCCTGAGTTCCTGGACATTGTGCTTCTGGGGAACCATTTTGGCCAATCCCCTCAGGAAGCAAATAAAGTTAATAAAGTAGCCTTTTGAAGGCTTAGCAGTGTTTGGGGCATAAGCAACGAACAATTTTGCCAGACGTTGGCTTTGGGTCCGATCGGTTTCTGTCGGGCTCAACAAGCATCCAGGAGCTGCTCAAAATCCTTGATTAATATTCAGGTTCCACCAAACCGCGCCAATGTGAATACCTGGGTTGGAGGTCTTGCTCGAGTGGAAAACAATGAAAGGGAGGAGACATGGATGCACTGCGCTGAGTAAGTTGAAGCCACCGAGGGACCAACCAGCTGGAAGGGCTAGGTTGCGGACCCCAGTTGGCCAGTCGGCCTCACGCTGGTTTCTTGTCAAGAAAAAGTGTCACAAGGGATTCAAGCGATCCAAGCCTTTCGACAACTAGCCATGATCTATTCGGAACGGATGCAGTGTGATGGCAAAATACGGGCCCCTACTTTTGTTAGGAGGGATCCGCGAACAAAAGGCCTTGTTCCATGCATCATGTGTGACCTCCTGGACATATGTTCTTAGCCACAATCACGGAGCAGCAACCACCTTTGAAATGTCTTTGCAACAAGCAATGCTGTCTAAGATCCACGGCATATCCTCTGTTTTAAATCATAGTGAATCGTTCAGGATCGAAACGTGGAAGGCTCAACCAATGCGAGGCCTGGACAGCGACAGCGAGGAGGAGACCAAGGAGAAGCCAGAGGCGGGAGGCGCCAAGTCCAGATGTGCCAAAACGAGCGTGGTTGGGGGTTGGTTGCTTGGTTGGTGGGCGGGTTGGTTGGTTGGTTGGTTGGTTGGTTGGCACAGTCATCTATTTTGTCTTAGGGGGTACTAGTCTGGACGGCCACTCTAAGGGAATAGTTAAGGTACACATGACCCAGAAGAAGGGCTGACCATGGCCAAGTTGGTCGCTTCAATTGTGAATAGGCTCTCGGGTCTGCAGCTTTAAGTGATCTTCCGGATATCCCAAGCTTTAAGTGACCTTCCAATCTTTCCAGCTGCAAAAGGAAGCCCATTTGCTATTCGCCTGAAAGGCAGCTGTTGAGTTTGCCCATCATCAGTTTCCGCATGAAGATCGCTTGTACCGGAAGCAGTCTGTTGTTTTGTTCTCGCCGTAGGATTGGATCCAGTGGGGGCCTTCTTTGAATAAATGACCTCTTAACCTTCTGACTCACTTGATTGGGAGTGGTGTCAAATGTGACCTTTTTGCTAGATTGTCTTAAACACTGCGAACAGGAAATCCCACGTTGCTGTTTGGGAGGCTCAGCACTTGTTTCGGCTCACACATGTACCTCCCGTGCCCGACCGCGAAAAGGGGCTCCCTAATTTTTGGACAGCCCCATCATTTTGGACGAGCTTGGTCCTGGGTATACGACCGAGCAGCCCAGCTCTTGAAGACTGGCCGAGGTTGCTGATTTGGGTTTGTTCGGGCACAAGCCCTTCCAAACTTGACACTCGCTTGAACCCGCCCCCCCAAAAGGTCGACTCGCTGCGGACAAACCCTCGTTGGCAGGCTCGGCAAAAATGACAAGACCCAAAAAGGTGCCCGATTAATTTTTGCTTCCTGGTTATATTTCAGGACTGTTTGGGTTCAATTGCAATACAAAGAATAATTGTGTGTAGAACGGTTGAACCTTTATCGTTTGTTGAGTGATCATTTCCAGAAAGGGAAGGTTGTTCAAGTTGTCCGCAGGCATCTCTTTTAAGAGATCTGGCTTGAGCTTTGGCCTCGTGGACTGTCAGGTAGTTGCGGCCCAAGCCTAAGATGCCACGTGGAAAAAAACGAATCCGTGGTGGAATTCGGACGCGCCCCAGTCGGACTCTTCCAAGCCAAGTGTTTGTTTCCGCGTACCCGGGTCATAGGACGCTGTGGCTCCAGTTGGCCATTGGAGTGTTTGCTTTGTCATTGCCTTCAGAGGTGGATTTCATTTTGTATGATCTGACAACAACAGGTGGTACGGCTTTCAAAGCCACAAAGCAAGCTAGGATCCATACCTGCAAAGGAAGTTTACTAGATGAGGTGCTCCGACATGTATCGGCTTTTCTGGTGAGCCCTTGCCCAACTCGCATGCAAGAAGGCATGGATTCGCTCATTTATTGGAAGTCCTGATGACAACCTGGGCGAAGTAGAGTCCCGAAAGGGACTAGTAGGTCGACTGCTGCGGAAGGTTATGCAGGATGGTCCAATGATGATGAAGTACCAATACAAGTATTTCTCTGCGAGGGTTTCGAGAGGCATCCACAAGGCAACCCTCCAGGGGGCGGGACGGGGGGAGGGGCCTGGCCGCCAGTATGCTGCAACTAGCCTAAGCCAAGACCGCACCCAGCAGTTTCAAGAAGGCTACGGCTGCATGATGTGCTTGTTGTTTGTGTTCGACGTATGCTGCACGGCAGCCTGCGATGAGTGTTGCAGTGACGGAAATAGCCGAATCATGCCCGTGGAGTTTTTGGGGGGTGCTGCCAGCCTCAAACTCACCCACATGTTGGATGATTACAGTAGCATGGGGAACAAAACCAAATTCAACTCGTGACTAAGTCAGCTTCCTCGCATTTTCGCTCTGCAATGCAAGGAGTGTTGCCCGATCCGTGGTGTTGTCCTCATATTCGCTTTGGCTTAAGCATCATGTTTGCGATCGTTGTACCAAGCGCCCTTCGCTGGCTCTTGATCCACAGACTGGGCAGGGCACCGGTGCGGGCACGGCTGCGACAGAGGAAGGGGGTTCGCAGAATTGCCTCACGTCTCCGGTTGGACTCTAAACGTTTTCGGGAAGTCCACTTCAGTCAATCTTGTTTTGGCCAACACTCAGGAAATGAGGTGTCCGTTCTAGTTTGGGTGAACCACCGCTAGATTCCGCCGGTTTCCATTATGTTCCAATCATTCACCGGCGAAGTCCATGAATCTATTTTTTCAAAAGGACACCTAGAGGGATTCTGCAAGGCAGCAAAGGACAGCATCATTGGCCTCAATGAGAAAGCACTGATTATCCAGCTCCTGTGGGTGCCATGACCACGAAATATCTTCCGTGTGTTCAAGTCTGAGGTTCAGCCCAAACTCAACTTTTAGTGGCTCAGAACTGAGACACGAGAAAAGGCAAGCTTACCGGTGGTTTGACGTCACGGCAGGTCGGGGACACGTGATTTGAAAAACGTCTTTGGACTCTTTGGGTGTCGGGTCGCTTGCAAATCTTCTGGAGTCTGGTTGCGTTTCCACTATTCTAAGCTGAATTTTGTTCAATGGGCCATGTCTTTCAGAACATCGACACACGCTGAAGTTCCCCTTTTGCAAGGATCACTTATCGTAATTGGTGCAATACTGAGGTGTAACATATAGTGTTTGGCTGGCTCAAGGCAGACGACTAGAGGCACTTGTTTTCACTCACAAAAGCTCAGCGCATTTTACTTACTCTAGTAGCAGCCTTTGAACAAGTAGGAGCTATGTTCTGTCCTTTGCGTTTCTACTTATCTCTCTGACTTTTGTGCAGTGCTCTTTCAGTCTTGTCACCTTCGGTGTTGTCAGCCAAGAGATGGGAGAAACATGAGCACAAGTGAGGGGTTGTAGGGGCTAGCGCTGAAAGGGCCACTCCTCAACGTGCGCAGGACAAATGCGAAGATTCGATGAAAGTCGACCAGAGCACAACGTTAGCAAAGGCAAGGGCAGCGGCAAAAGCGACTGCCACGATGGGTATGACTGCCAGCGGCACAACTGCATGTTTTACCACCCTTGGGGACGAGCTATTGACGCAGCCACTGTCCCGACACCTCAGCCCTCTGCGAGTGCAGCAGCAAGAGGGACGTCCAGGAGGCGTGCTGGATCAATGCCAAGATTTGACAGCGAGTCTGGCCCGGGCAAAGGCAAAGGTGGAGGAAAGAGTGAATGCAGAGATGGGTATGAGTGCCAACGGCACACTTGCTGGTTTTATCATCCTGTGGGCAGAGCAGTTGACGTAGCTTCACCACAGGTGAGTGCTGCAGCAAGGGGGACATCCACAAGACGTGCAGGATCAAACGTCAGATTTGACAATGAGTCTGGCCCAAACAAAGGCAAGGGCGGAGGCAAAAGTGAATGTCGAGATGGGTATGAGTGCCAACGGCACGCTTGCTGGTTTTATCATCCTGTGGGCAGAGCAGTTGACGTAGCTTCACCACAGGTGAGTGCTGCAGCAAGAGGGACATCCACAAGACGTGCAGGATCAATGGTCAGATTTGACAATGAGTCTGGCCCAAACAAAGGCAAGGGCGGAGGCAAAAGTGAATGTCGAGATGGGTATGAGTGCCAACGCCACAACTGCACATTTGTCCATCCTGTCGGACGGGCGATTGATACAGCATCTCAGCCCTCAGCGAGTGCAGCAGCAAGAGGGACGTCCAGGAGGCGTTCTGGATCAATGGACAGATTCGACAGCGAGTCTGGCCCGGGCAAAGGCAAAGGTGGAGGAAAGAGTGAATGCAGAGATGGGTATGAGTGCCAACGGCACACTTGCTGGTTTTATCATCCTGTGGGCAGAGCAGTTGACGTAGCTTCACCACAGGTGAGTGCTGCAGCAAGGGGGACATCCACAAGACGTGCAGGATCAATGGTCAGATTTGACAATGGGTCTGGCCCAAACAAAGGCAAGGGCGGAGGCAAAAGTGAATGTCGAGATGGGTATGAGTGCCAACGCCACAACTGCACATTTGTCCATCCTGTCGGACGGGCGATTGATACAGCATCTCAGCCCTCAGCGAGTGCAGCAGCAAGAGGGACGTCCAGGAGGCGTGCTGGATCAATGGACAGATTTGATGAGAACGAGTCTCCTCCACCGACCGGCATTGCTGCGCGTGTCAATCACACAGGCCAGGCAGGATTTCCGCCGAGGAGTCGAGTTGTGGCTTCTTTGGACTTGAGTCAAGAGTGTCGTCAACAACTGCTTGATGGCATGATGTGTCTTGCCTTATTTGGGATGAAAGGGTCTGACCAGCCACATGTGGTGGAGGTTCGGGGTTGACACATTACTCTCATTCTTTGATTCTCGGGCAAGGCAAGCACTCTCCCACGCCGATGCATAAGTGTCAGCGCATTGTTGGCCGGCTGTTGTTCCCTTCACAACCTATCAGAGCTACAGCGGGATGAACCAATCACTCTGGCCGTTGGGTTGCTTGCCTGAAAAGCTAGGCACCCAACAAAGGATTTGGGCAGTTGTATCGCATGAGATGCATGTTCTTGAGTGTCCTTTGGGCAAAACACCTGTGCCAAGGTATCACCTGGCATTCTTCCTGCAACTCGTCCGGCGCAGTGGCCTTTTGTTTTTGTTTGTGTTCTTTTGGTTTTTGCCTGTTCCGGGCTGAAAGCTATAATTTTAGTGGCAACTCACCAAGACTTTTTACGCAACCAGGTTGGGTTCTTGTTATAGAATCATGGCAAATAGGCGATGACTTGGGTTGTTCCCCGCTTCAGCTTCACCCCTTTTTGGACTTCCATTTTAGTGGCGCTTGGTGTGAGAACCCCACCATCAGGGGGACAACCCAAGTTACGACCTTGAGTTCTCGTTTTTTGAGGGTGCCCTTTTGGAGGTGGTTTCAAAGGGAAACCAACGGGAAAACCACAACTTTGGTGGTCCCCTAATTCAAATACTTCCAAGTGAGGCAAAGGTTTGAAGTCACCGGCCGAGTGGTCGGTGCCAAGCTGGAGCTGGTGAGCTATCGAGGTGATCCAGATGTCCACGTCTTGACAGATGAACTCCAGCTGGAGATTGCGCGCTTGTCTTCACTTCGCGTGGAGCTGAATGACGCCGGGGCAACAAGAGAGGTCCCTCATGTTGTATTTGGACTTGTTGACTTTGTAGAAATACCATGCTAGTGGAAAACACAAGTTTGTTTTTGTTGTTGTGTTGTGTGTTTGCTTGCCTTGGTGTGTGCGTGTCCGTGTATGCGTAATGTGTAATGTGTATGTTGCAGAGTATGTGTATTTGCATGAAAGTGTATGCACGCACGTCTTGTTGTACTGTTTGGTGGGTGCCTGCGTGCATGCGTGCGGGTGTAAGGGTGTAAGGGTGTGTGGGTGTGTGCGTCTGTGGATGTGTGGGTGTGTGGGTGGGTGGGTGGGTGGGTGGGTGGGTGGGGGGGGCGGGGCGCAGGGCGGGGCGGGCGGGGGCGGGGCGGGCGGGCGGGGCGCAGGGCGGGCGGGGCGGGGCGGGCGGGCGGGCGGGCGGGGAAGGGCGGGGCGTGCGGGCGGGCGGGCGTGCGCGGGCTGGTGCGCGTGCGCTGGTGCGCGGTGCTGCGCGGGTGCGCGGGCGGTGCGGGTGCGCGGGTGCGCGGGTGCGCGGGTGCGCGGGTGGGCGGGTGGCGGGTAGGGTGTGTGCGGGTGTGCGGGTGTGCGGGTGTGCGGTGCGGGTGTGCGGGTGTGCGGGTGTGCGGGTGTGCGGGTGTGCGGGTGTGCGGGTGTGCGGGTGTGCGGGTGCGCGGGCGCGTGTGCGCGTGTGCGCGTGTGCGCGTGTGCGCGTGTGCGCGTGTGCGCGTGTACGCGTGTGCGTTGTGTGCGTGTGCGTGTGCGCGCGTGCGTGTGTGTGGGTGGGTGGGTGGGTGTGTGGGTGTGTGGGTGTGTGGGTGTGTGGGTGTGTGGGTGTGCGAGTGCGTGTGCCTGTGCCTGTGCCTGTCCCTGTGCGTGCGCGTGCGCGCGTGTGTGTGTGTGTGTGTGTGGGTGGGTGGGTGGGTGGGTGTGTGGGTGTGTGGGTGTGTGGGTGTGTGGGTGTGTGGGTGTGCGAGTGCGTGTGCCTGTGCCTGTGCCTGTCCCTGTGCGTGCGCGTGCGCGCGCGTGTGTGTGTGTGTGTGTGTGTGTGTGTGTGTGTGTGTGTGTGTGTGTGTGTGTGTGTGTGTGTGTGTGTGTGTGTGTGTGTGTGTGTGTGTGTGTGTGTGTGTGTGTGTGTGTGTGTGTGTGTGTGTGTGTGTGTGTGTGTGTGTGTGTGTGTGTGTGCGCGTGCGCGTGCGTGTGCGCGCGCCTGTGCGTGCGCCTGTGCGTGCGCTGTGCGTGTGTCAGTGTGTGTATGTGTCTGCGTGTGGGCGTGTGGGCGTGTGGGCGCCAATTCCAAAAAGCATCCAACATGAAATGTCACAGCATCCCGAGCTAACCGATGTGATTCCTCCCCCCAGCCCCCCCCTCCAGACCACTTCACGAAATTCCTTTTTGGTGTCGGACACCTTTCTTTGCCTTTTGGCATGTTGCCTTGCACCAGGATTGGGCCAACTACCTGTTCAATCATGCTGAAGCCAATGTTTGAAGCCGGGTCTCCCATTAAAGGAATTCGACAGCATGGGTCCTGTTGAGACACTGATTTACCCTGGTCTCATTTTTCCGCAATGACCAGGGGCCGCAAAACCGCTTGTTTAGACACAACTTGTGCATCCTGCAACTTGCAGCCCGGCCTTCGGCGAGCTTCGGCCAAGGACAGTGTGCCCTTCGCGCAGTCCTTGGCGGGTCGCCTTATCGGCGCCCAAGGCCAGGGGCCATGAATTTTCAACTGGGGGGGTTCCCGTGGTTTACAATAAAAGCCGACAGAAGTGATTATAAAGTGGGCGTGTCCGCACAAAAGACATGTGGTCTCCTTTGGCTTCCCTTTGGTTTCCGTTTCGTTTAAATTTAATAGCCATTCCCTCAGAAGCGTACCAACTCGACAAGGACACGCTCAGATGAAGTTCCTCCCTTTGGAGAATGTTGTTTTCCCCCACAGCAATGACTAGATCTCACCTTGTTTCTTTGGACCATTTTGGGGTCGTTACCCAATGGTGTTATGACAGGGTGTAACACAACCACATTTAGGTTGTTTGTCTATAGTCTATTTGGGTCTGGTTTTTCCATTGTCTTTCCAGAGCAGTTGGGCTGAATTCCCTCAACCATGGATTTGGCTTTAACGAGCACACCTTGAAGAGAATCTAGATGGAGACCAATTACCCGAGGAGCCCGTTTTGTTGAGAGTGCACCTGAAACACGATCAGATAATCATGGTTTCTCCAATCCAACAGCGTTGATATGCAGAATAAAGGAACATCCAACGGAACCTGGCCGTATTTCAAGGGGACAAGTCTTGTCCGGTGGGCTACGGGTTTCTTTGTGCTCCCATTTGATGTAGAGTTTGGAATGAGAGTGTTAAATCATCAACGTGACACGACAGAGGTGTCTACTCAAATCGCAGAAAGGTTCTCTCGAAAGATGTGTTGTGTGTATATGGCTGCGGCTCAGATTATCCTTCCGGATCGGAGGCCCGGGCCCACAAGCGATCCAGACCCCCAACCTATCCAGACACCGCGGATCGATCCATACCAGTTGGAGTCATAGCCACACATACATACATACATATATATATACATATTTATATATATATATATATACATATATATACAAAAAGACAAATACTATGTATACATATATATATATACACCACCAGTCATGCTTCCCAGCAGGCGCTGTCATCCGAATGCTCAGCCGCGACCTGGGTGTGCAGGCAGGCGACCGGTTTTGTCCCGCAGGCAACCGGTTTGGCTTACCGAGATTCTCAGACCCTCTGTTTGGAAATCCCATCGGTCAGACGTCTCAGGCCTTAGGTCCGTGAAAAGATCAGCTCACCCATCGATGTGCTTGGTCCATTCACCAGAGAACCAATTTTCTGCCCTTACGATCAACTCTTTGGAGCAGCCCTGAAACGTCTGGCTGTCGCAGTGAAATGGATTTGTCTCAAGCTAGAGCCAACAGTTTTTTTTTAGTTTTTACTTTGGTTCCACCTTAAACTTGGATCTCCTCCATATGGATCAACAGTTCATTTGCGGGTTGACTAGATATGAAGCAGAATCTGAACATCAGATTCTTCTGTGATTGTATACCCCAAATCCGGGCCAAGTCACCAACCAGACTTCACACAACACAGGGAATCCTACAGGAATCCCATGGAGTTTGTGGTATGTGAATGGTTTATGTCGACTTTCCCAGTGCCTACCGCGTTTCAGATCGAAGTGGAGAACTCCCCGGGCCGCTCCTTGGACGGGGAGGCCAAGGCCTGGATTACCGGAGCGCCGGAGGCCATGGAATCCGCCAGGCCGAACACGGGCAAAAAATGCCCGTTTTTTTGACGCCTCCCGTGTGCGTCCAAAGGTTTGTGCATTTTGTTTTCATGGCAGTTTCGAATCGAAAGGGTAAAGTAAGGTTCGGTTGAAAGGAAAAATTGGAAGGGACGCCGGATATGTTGGGGATTCCTCCATTTGGACAGGTTCTTCTTCGGGGTCTAGTGTGGGCTATCGAAAACCATGTGTACAACCGACCCATTGTGCGTAACCACGGGTTGCCACAATTTGAGGACAATCATGGCAAGTCTCTTGCCCACCTACCAGAATGAAAGCTGAGAGCCTAAGAGCTACTAAATCCAGATTATAACCTTCTCACTCGCCATGCTCATGAGAGATGTCATGAGTTATAGCCTATCAAGTGGCTCCTCCCTGAGGCTGCTGCTGGAAAACCACCTGATCTCCTTCAGCAGCACGCCGCCCTCATTTGCAGAGGCCGAGAAGCAACTGGCAGCCGAGAGCCGCGAGCCCTTGGAGCGGCACATGGGGGAAGCCACACAGGGGTCGGGGGGTCGGGAGCCAAAAGGAAACCACAGTTTTGGGATTCTGCCTTTTTTGCCATACTCATATTATGGGATCCCCTAAAACGGTTGGTATTCCTTTTTTGGTTTCCCTTTCAATACCAAGCAGGGAGCAGGGGGTTCCACCAATTTTGCAGAAATACTCATATGAGCAAATGCTACTCGTACCAGGCTATCGGCTTTGGATTGGCAAGGAATTGGCAAACAAAAGCAACGGCATACGCCTTGTTGGGGAAATATATTCTCATTTTCGCTCTTAGAATGAAAAGCGCTGTATCCCACTTACCCCGTGATTCCAGTTGCCGCGATCAGGTGGAGGGATTGCGTGGGCTAAACACATCAGCTTGGCTTGGTCGAGCCAGGTATCTGGGATGGAAATGTTTGTTGGCTCCCATCCTGTTTGATTAACTTTACGTGTTTTTGTCGCGTTGAGTTCCGGCCATTGAGTTCAATTGATCCCGCACATTGCTGGTTGAACAGCGGATGTTTCTGTCACTGCCTCCTATTACCCACACGAGTGCGGCGCACTTAAGAATCAAGGTTTGTTGTTGAAGTCTCCCACGAGACATGCCAAAGGCTTGACCATGAAGGTCCCTTATTTTTGATATTCGTAGTTTCTGGCTGGTGGAGTGCTTTGATGTTGCACGTGTGTACGGAGTGGTTCTTGAAGAATTATCCTGCGCAGCTGAACTGAAATTTGTTTGATTCTGCAAGCGGGCAATTTGACAGACCACCAGTTGTTTGGTCACCGGAGGGTTCGTTGGTTTGCGTGAAAACAGTTGGGGCCGCTGGACATCAAATGCTGTATTTGCGCATTGTAAGGGAACGCTTGGGCAAGTTTCTGCATACCAGCCCAGGTGAGCAACTATCAAGATGATAGTCAGTCTACTACTATTCTGGGCCCACCATTTTTGGGGCAGGTTGGAAGGTTCCGTGGCTGTTGAGGGCTCTTTTTGGGCTTCTCTCCGAGGTTTTCTTGTCATGTCCTCATCCTGGTCGTCCTGGTGGTTTTTCTGTTTCCCGAGGTCGGTGCACATCTTCGTGGACAACAGCAACATCGCCATCGGCTGCCAACTGCTGCCCACCGGCGTCCGGGACTTCTCGCAGCGACTCAACATCCAAAAGTTTACCTCGGCGGTGGCCGGCTTTAGGACTCGAAGATTTGTTTCGATTCACGACTTGTTTTGTTTGATTTGGAGCAAACCGACCATGTGAATGAAGCATGTCGAATGGATACTATTTTCTGCTAAATGGGGGGAACAACTGGATTGTTTTGTTTTCATGTTTGCTTCCCTTAAAGCCTCCCCAAGAAGGGCAGCCTCAAAACACAGTAACTTTCACGCACGACGCACACATACCCATGACTATAGCCGCTTGATGGCTTCAGAATGTCTCGCAGGAGGCAATGCCGCAAGGTGGTGGTGGGATCCAAGCCACCGGCGAATCACCGCATCTGGGAAGTCTGGCGTCGGTATGGGTACCAGGCAGGGCGTTAGGTCGGGCCCCCCTGTTCAAACTTTAGAGCCTCCGGCTCAGTCCGCCGACATTGTCCTCTCCCTTTTCTCCTTCTTCCCTCTCCCTTGTCTCCCTCGTGCGTTCTGTCGTCCTCTCTCCCTCCCTCTGCTCCCCATTCTCCCCATCCCCCCAAGCCTCTCTCTCCTCAATCTCCCACTCTCTCTCTCTCGCTGTCTCTGTTTCTCTGTCTCTTTCTGTCTCCCTGTCTCCTTCCTGTCCACGCCCCTCTACAGAAAAAGGGCACCCTAATTCGAACCTCTCTACTCTCTCACTTTCTCGCTCTTTCTCTTTCTCTTCTCTCTCTCTCTCTCTCTGTCTTTCTGTGTCTCTCTTTCTCAGTCTCCGTCTTTCTCTCTCTCGCTGTCTCTCTCTCTGTCTGTCTCTTTCTCTGTTTCTCTGATTCTGGCTCTGTCTGTGGTCTCTCTCTCTGTCTCTCTCCCGCTCTCTCCCTCTCTCTCTCTCTCTCTCTCTCTCTCTCTCTCTCTCTCTGTCTCTCTCTCTCTGCATTGCAGCGTCACGTCCCCCCCCGAGTTGCCTCGATGTCCGGGCACTGCCCCTGCATGACCCTGAACTGTCATCTCACTACTGGCTTTCCCCCTTCATGTCCTTGTCACGTTTCCCATGATGTCCTGGTCCTGTCCCTTCCATGCCATTCAGCCCCCCCTTCATGTCCCTGACATTTTCTCGGTATGTCCGCTTCATTTGCCATGTATGTCCCGTTCTTTCGTTGCGAGTCATTTCCCTACATCTCCCGTCGTGCTTGGTTTCCTTGTGCTTTGTTTCCTCTCCTTCCCCCTGCACTCCCCTTGTTTTCATTTCTGTCCCTTGCATGTCCCTTTCAGTTCCCCTTTGTTTCCCTTTCATGTCCCGCTGCTTTCCTGTCATGTCGACTTCCTATTTCCTCCCCTCATTTCACTTGCACTTCCTTGCATTTCCCCTCTGCTCCCCAATATTTCCAGCAAAAAACACGGGTTTTCCAGCGTTTTCACAATTAGGACGTCCAAAAACACAGAGTTTTTCCAGATTTTCTGCAAAAGGAGGCAGGAACCCCAAACCAGCAAAGAGCCGGCAGGGGGAATCGAGCCTGGGACCCCTGTTTTGCGACACCGGCTCCCCGAAGACTACGTTTAGTGGAACGTCATCAAATTGCCGCGCGGTCCTTGGGGGGGGCCCCCCCCCACGTATCAGACGTCGGGCGGGGGGGGGGTTAGGGGGGGGGGGTTATCCTCTACAATGTCGGCGGACATGTCTCAGCCACCGGGGATATTTTGAAACTCCTATAGTTGGGGTAGGTGGTTTATCCGAGTCATGGGGTTTATCCATCACTGGTGCGAAGTTGATCTTGTGCACTTCTTTTTTTTTGCAACCACCTCCTTTGGGTTTTCCTTGAGACGGGTGCCGCGGCGCACCCAAGCCTACCAGGTCCTTACGGAGTTCAGGGACCCGGAGACCAATCGCGAGCAGTTGCTCGGTTCGAACCGAGGGGTTGAATGAGGGTGCTCGGTTCGAACCCTCCTGGGAGGGGATCCGATTTTTTTTCTCCGCGGAAATCCAAGGAATTGTTGGGCCGTTTTTAACACCAGTGGGGCATTTGGGCCTGGGACAAATATCCACCTTCGATGTGCTCGGTGCATTGATGTTCCCTGAACCGTAAACTGTCACCTTCCCCCAAGAGTACCAATATGTACCAATGGCCTTTGCGGAAGATCTCCTGTTTGCCCCCCAGGGTGTGCCCAGTCATTTGCTCAAAGGCAATGTTATCACTATGGCATGCCGCCCTTTCTGTGGTGGAATCGAACCTTGCGACCAACAGGTTCGGCTATGGTCAAGCTAGCTCGCTGGCACTTAAACTGGCCTGCAACTGCACAATCTTGATTGGATGCCTGAGTGCCCATTTAGTTTTGGGGCATACAGACTGTCGGATTGACCTGTGTGTTGCCCTATTGATCCAACCTTGGGAGCAACCAATGAGCTTTGAAGCACCTTTGTGACAAATCTAGATAAATTTCGGATCACCATTGGATCCAGCACGGTGCACGGATGTTTTTGAGAGGGGGGAGCCCGTCCCCGCAGGTCCGACATGGGTTTGGCGGGTGACATGGAGGCGTCAAACTGACTGGCTGAGCTGGCTGGTTGGGTTCGTTGGCGGTTTCGTCAGCCCGGAGGCAAGCCTAAATGAACCCAAGAACCGCAACTCACTCAACTGCTGCAAGACTAGGCACACATGCGGCATGTTGCTCATGCGGGCGCACTGTGACGGATCAGTGCAGCTTGTGATGCCGGACATGTAGCCTAGTTCCATACTTGCTGTGCCGACCGACTCACCAATCAAACAAGCGACCCGTCAACCGTCAAACCAACCAACCCACCCACCCACAACCCACCGACCCACCCGTCAACCAGCCAACTGGCCAGCTCACCGACAGCCCGAAGAAAGAACTGACCCGGTGGCAGTTCTTGCAAACGGGACCCTACTCCAAAGACTCCCTCACAATTGTTCAGGCCTTAGGCTTCATCAGACAAATCATTTGGCCTGGCTGCACCCCCCCTTGAATTTCAGGTTCGTGGACAGCCGCATGGTGGCGGAGGCACTGATGCACGTGCTGCAGCCATTGGGCGGCGGCGCCAATGTGCTGGTGCTGGCCACTGGGGATGGGAATCTGGAGAACCAGGACCGACGCCGTGTGTAAGTCGCCTCGGCACCAGTGCGGGTCTTTGGTGAAGAGAATCAGATTGTCTCCGTTGCGAGAAAGCCGGAGTTGCGGCGTCCATTTGTGTGTGTGTGTGTGTTTACTCCCCCCCAACAAAAAGGAGCTAGGAACAATGTGTCAATGTGTTTGTTGGTTGAGAGTTAAGTGAATCAACAAGAAACCATTCTTTGGAAGCCTCTCTACTGTTGATATACTTGCAGGTGTCAACAGCGTGTTTCCAACGTTTTTTGATTGGTCATGTATCATGAAATTCATGTGTGGCACTTTTGTTCAGTCACCTCATCAACCTTTGATTCATCCATCACGGCAAGTATACAAGCTTTTGGTTGGCGTGTGGGTGTTCACTAGCACTGCTGATGCCGCAGGTACTGGAAGTAAAGCAGTCCAGTGATGCGGTTCCTTTTCCAAACTACCATCTTATTTCTGGAATCCAATTTCACCCGTTTGTTTAGCCTTCCCAACGGGCACGTGTGAAAATCCAGGACGGCTCTACATGGTTCCTGTTGAAATGATCCCGCAAGGCTCAAACTGAATTGTGTTGCAAGACTCCAAAATTGAGGACAAAATTGAGGCCAGTGGTTGACACTGTTTGCATTTGCTTTGTTGCGGCCATGTGTGGCCAAAGCTTGCGTGTCAGGTTGGGAGACACCCCACAGCGGGCTTTCTCATGTATTCCGCTCGATTTGTAGGAATCACATGTATGAAAGGCTCTATGAGTTCCCTACATGTGTCCCAACCCAAGGGCAAAGTGAGCCAGTACATGCCCGGCGTAGTCACTATGCAAGCAGTATCCCTTCTTCCTTCTAGTGGAGACCCTGCATATCCAAGGTTCCTCATTTGGGGTTCCATACATTTTCCATGGACACATATGGACACCAACATCTGACAAGTAAGCCTACATGCCGCCCCGGCCCCCCAGACCCAGTGGGACTCGGTCAGGAGCCCGGCACTGCAGGCAGGGCACTAAGAGCGTGGTGTATGTTTGCATTGTGTGGCGCTTGATTTAGCTGGTTTGTATTGCACGATGTGCGACTTGTTGATGTTGTGTGTTTTGGGCCTGTTACTTCTTGTTGGTCATTTATGATACATTTATGTTCTTATTGCTTTGTGTGTCCGTTCCTTCCTTATTCTTCAGTTTGTTCTTTGTTCATGGATGTATGCTTGTCTTGCTTGCCTGCTGCTCTTTTGCAAGTTTGCTTTCTTTGCTTCGTTGAAAGGGGCATGTTCCACAACCAGACCATAGACCCGCAAGGGGCCAACTTTCAGAACTTGGTGAACACCATCTCCAGTGGCCGCGCTGGGCCTTGGACGGTGGAGGTCTGGTGCTGGCGCGCCTCCTGCCATGCGGTGTACAAGCGCATGGCGCAGCAAAATCGCATCCGCCTTTGCTACCTGGACGGCCTGCGGAAGTACGCTCTTTGGCCTTGAAGATCTTGAAACCACGCCCAAACGGGGTCAACCTCCAAACAAGAGAAACTTTAGTTGCAACTTGAATCCGACCCAAAAGGAGGTCAGCCTCCAAAAAGCCTTTACTCCGAACAATGCCCACCTAAGACAGTTACCATTCAAAGGTTCGGTATATTTGTTGTTTGAAGCGATCGTTTGAAGCCGCTCAGATGCTGATTTCAAAAAGCCAGCCAATACCCAACCGAACAAGTCCAACCGTTGCTAGCAGTAGTTTCTAAAGGGTGATGCGAAAGCGAAGCAAGCGAAACAGTGGACAACTACATGATGTTGACCCCTGATCAATATACAGCGTAGCTGCTACCAAGCGCAACGCGCAACCCCTCGCAAGAAAATGTCACATGCTATAATTATAAGAGAGCAGCAGTAGAAGCACCAGACTCTCACAAGCAACTGCCGCTCCACTGCCTTGCCTGCGTGTCACTCTACCTGCGCCCCAGGGGAATAGCCGGACACGAGGTGTACAGTGCAAGCGGTGCTCCAAGCAAAACGGCCGCCACGCAGTGCCTGTAAAGGTTTTAAAGGCTTGCAGGGAACCTGAAAAGGCCAGCCAGCCAGACACCAGGTGATTGATGCAAGGACGTTTGCCTCCAACTTCGGACTTTCACGGCAACACATCCTTTTGCATCCCCCTGTCACAACGGCTAGGTGCTGCATGATAAATACGGACCTCTGGCAAGCAATATGATCTTTCAAACAGGGGTGTGAGCGTGAGAGAAATCTGAAGTCTGTCCAACAAGCGGTTGCCAAGGAATGCGCGGGTCTAGACTCAGTTACACGCGTTGCAGGCATTGCTTTCGAGGTGGGGCATGATGTTAGTCTCCGGAAAATGAACACGAACCGCCTTGGGGTATCCCTTTTTTCCATGCCCCTTGATGTTCAGGAAGGTATGCCACAGACGGTAGGCTTCGGGAACTGAGGTTACCATGACTTCTCGGCAAGCCGTGTTTGCTGGTGCGACGGCGGCAGCCGCGGTCGTTGAAGAGGAGGACATTGGCTGAGCCTCAAAACAATGACCAGACCATAAGGGTAGAAATTTGGTAGAAGGGTTCTCTTGTTTTCCTTTGCGTCAACTCTGTGAATCTTGTAGAACATACTAAACTGCTATTGTTTTCCTTTGGGTCCTCTTGCTTTCTACCTTTCCGAACGGGTCTTGGATCAACCCTCGAGCTTCTCCATACCGTTTCGACAGGTGTTGCTGCCAGCTGAGGGTAAAATTTAATTCGTCTTTTTACTTGGCTGCTATTTGGTTGGGTCTATAACTTTTTGACTTTTTGAGAAAATGCGTGGTTTCCCACTAACCAGCAAAATAGCTACTTCTTCTTAAGGGGGGTTTGGACGGCTGGTTTGAGTCTCCCGGACAACAATGGTAGCTGACAGGAGGGTTTCGGACGACTACTTTTATTTTTCGGGGTGTGACCCCCCCCCGTCCCTTTCCATGATAGGAAGAGGGTATCAGTTTATCATGTTTGTTGGACCGCTTATCCGCTTGCCGGCAACCGTGGGCTGACTTTGATGGCAACATAATCGGCGGGTGGACTTCCACTGGGGTGGTTTCGTCCGAGGTGTCCCACAATCCCCGCAGCAAGTATTCCATACGGTTTGTTCCTCGTAATAGTCTGATATACATCTACAGATACAGAATGATGCCAATTGTCTACGCCTTGAACAGTTGAGCAGTGAACAGTTCGACCCAACTGCAAGGTTGCTTTATACTTTTCTCACAAGCGTGGACAACTACGTCCCCCCGAAAAAATAATATTGGCAACTACAGTCTGCCTGTTCAACTTGTTGGAAGTGACCACTTCCCCACCAACCAGCAACCAGTTTAGCTGTTCGCTGGCTCAAAGACTACCCCCACCACGCAGGAGGCAGACGTGTGTGTCCAGTGCTTGACGGCGGAGCCCACCCACTGCTTCCTTCCCTGCCCCTTGGACTTCGATATTTGCCAAGTTCGGCGGACAAGAGACAGAGGCATGTGGAACTCTGAACTCCAACTGTTTTCATGTTTCAGCACTGCGCTGCTTGGGTTTTGGCAACGGCTCGGGAAGCCGAGCCTCGAGATGATCACTTGCAGGATCGAGCTCCGGGTTCTTCGTCTGCCAGATTGGACAAGCATCCGGGCCCCAAAAGTGTAGGTTTCCTCCTGGCATTAAACCCACGCTTGAGGTGCGGTCAAAGTATCAAATTGATTCTTTAGTTTACAGTCGGAAGGGGCATCGAATTCCTCTACGAGAACAATGCATATTTTGACGCGGCTCACTTGTCAACAAAACGATTCGCAAAACAAGTGCCCTGCTTGGTGTTTGCGTGATTTACCTTTGCGGTTTCATGACGAGCTTTCAAGAGTGTGTTAGAGAACTTCATTTGCAGGGGTTCTTATGCTTCGTCATTTGGAAGGATCAGACTGCACAGTTTGGCGGCCATGTTGAAGGGTTTTCGCTTAAGCTTGAGTGATTTTGGCTGACCCCTGATGCGCTGAAGAAAAGCACGATCCTTGTGACACATTTTCCAACTCGAGGAGCGAAACTTGCCTGGACCCAGCGCTCAGGTCGTCACCAGATTCTTTGCGGCAGCTGCGCCCAGCAGACGCTCCCTCATCGGGACCGGCCACCCTTGGGCAGTTGCTTTGTGTGCCGCGTGCCGTGGCAAGACATCGTGGAGGCGGCTCGCCTGCAAACCATGATGGTTGTTTGAGGGTAGTTGCCCTGTTTGGGGTGGCTTGAACAGGAAACCACCCATGTTGGGTTCCGGTCCCCCTTTTTGACACATACCTGATTCAAAGTCTTTTGCACCAGGCCCTGAGCCTATCGAAAATGATATGAGGTTTCTTGCGCATTGGCACTCGATTGCGACTCCGATGGCTGTAGAAGGATTGCTCTCAGGAGCTGTTACACAATCCTACCTTATGTGCACGGGTGCAATACATTCATTGTTGCAAGGGAACCGAGCATGTTCACGGAAATCTATTTTAGCACGACGGGCAATGTTGAACAGCACAAAAGTATGCGAGCTTCACACATGAAACAGCCGAACCTTTCTTCAGCCCAGCTTTCCTTCGCCGCGCACCTCGGGTCCTATGATGTCGGGTTCGGTGCACAAGCCGAGGTTCGGTGAAAGCCTGGACCTTCGACCCTGCGCTCCTGCAAAACCTTGTCTTCTGAGGCAGGTTAGAAGTCGCAGCTGTCCTTGTTTGTTGAAGACGCTGGTTTGGCCATGTTGAGAAGCGGGTGTTACTTTGGCTGTTGCTTTCGAACTCGCTGCTGTTAATGATCTTCGAACAGGAAAGTGATCAAAATCCCTGTAAGCATGATGGCACAGCGCCTTCCACGCACGGTCTTTGTTGCCTGAGTGAGAAAACTCAGTATGGGTGTCTCCGGGGATGCAGGGTTGAGGTATGGTCTCTTGCTACTTGCAAGAACATGGAACATGGAAATCAAAGCACCGGCAAGCACAGAGTCTCCTCCCTCTCGTGTGTTGACCCAAACTGGTTATGACAATGATCAATGTCCATCAAGGGGTGTCCAATTCGTCAACGTGTACATTCAATATGTTGGGTAGTAGGTGTTCGGTGCTGTGACCCGTTTTAAGAAACCCACCAAGATTTAGAGAACCTGCTCAGACCTGCTCTAGAAAGTTTTGACACAAGTGCTCCTGACGATGTCAACACGTGTCTCTAATGCACCCTCTCATAGGGGGGGGGGGGGGACGGGGCGGCTTTTGAACAAAGAGCCGACATGAATTGGAGCGTCCCTGCTTGATACTGGGCGAAATCCATCGAGCTACATGATGAGTGTTTCAAACTGGGGAGTTTCTTATTTCATTTGTTGTGAAGAGCAATTTGCCCACAAAGATCAATGCGCCGCAAGCATTCAGCTTTCGAAGTCGCCACTTCAGAGGCCGACTTCAGCGCTTTGCTGATGACTTCCTGGCGCCGGCGTCGCTGTGCAAGAAAAGCTGGCAAGCGCGTGAAGATCCAGGGCTTGGAAGCGCGTGGGCAACGGACACCGCCATGGAGTCAAGGACAATCGACTGCATGTGTCTAAGGGCCGAAGCCAGATTACATGAAGCAGCCATCTGACTTGTGAGAATCTCATGCAGACTGATGGAGCATGGTCTGGACGGGGAGCCTGAGCCAGGAACTAGATACTTTACTGTTTGTGCAATATTCAGAGACCGTCAGCATTGCTTGATGTTTTGCTTCGCGCTATCTGCTATTTCAAAGAATGGTCAGTCAAGAGGCAAAGTAAGGTTGACACCTACTGCTCGGCCCGTTCCTTCATGTGTTCATCGTCTTTTTCTAGTGCCGCATCTTGGACACGATTTGCAACATATTGCCTGTTGTGAGTCTTGTGTTTGGTATGGCTGGTGCTTGATGGGTCCCCAAGCCCTCGTTTGACCAAGACCGACTTTTTGTAACAAGAATTCACAAGCGGACTCACCTGAATTGGGCCCGACCCCACCTTGTGAGCCAATCTTCATGAGGGCCTTTAGGGCAAGCCTTAGATGAAGCAACAAATGTCATACAGCGTGCAACGTTGTTCTCTGGGTGCTGAATAGCCCCGAAAGTTTGATTGATTTTAAGGGGCACGAATCGGTGATGAGCTTGAGTTGTTGTTCAGGCCATCATTTTTGCGACCGATCATCCAGTGGTTGATTCCCCATTCTCAACCATTTGTTCAGAAGCCCTGGAAAATCCATGAGAACGATCCCAGACTGCAAAAGGAGAGTACGGCTAAGCCCTGACTCGGTCTCGGGCACAGCACGACCTGCTCTCTCTGGCTCAGCGATCGGATCGCTCGCGGGAACACCGAGGCCGGGGTGCCTGGACATGGATCGCCCCTTCCGTGTGGTGCCCTCTTTTTCATGTTTGGGGTGGGGCTACCCCAAAGCAACTACGAATCAACACAACGGATGCCCGTGTTTCCACGGTCACTGGAGGTCTGGGTTCACTTGCCCCAAGAGAAGCGACTTGTTGACTCTCTTTTTTTCCCCCCCTTGAAGTGTTGCGACATGTTGTGACACTTAGTCATGGCTGCAGCTGATTTACATGTTGTACTCCTAGGCCAGTCGTTTGTGGCCGAGCCACGTTATGGATGTAAAGCAGCACATAGGAGTGTTGGGCACACACCATGACCATTGGTGAGTTTCCAGGCTTTTCAGCTCCAGGGCCCTACCTTAGATCCGGGCTATGACTGGGAACATGTTTGAGGGGATCTGCAAACTGCCCGAGGAGGTCGCGTCTCGGCATAAGTCATGCAGCAAGGGTGCAAGGTGAGCAAAGTGTGTCACATTTGCTCTGTGTTTAGGTCGAGGACTTGGTACGGCCCAATGTTTGCACTTGGGAATTGGTTGCCGGTTTATGTCGCTTCCTGTTCAAACTGTGGCTGGGGCTGGACAAGTTGTGACCCCCTGTCCTTTCAGCGTTTTGTTGTGAAAGACCATCCAACAAGCTCTTGTTCCCATGTGATGAAGCGCAGAAATCTCTGGTAGTCTGTTGTTAGTTTGGGGAGGACGAGAACGGGGCCCCGGCCCCAAATTACAACCAATATTTTCCCATGTCGGAGCTTTTGCTGCGCCGCAGGTGGGGGTCATGGATGACGCCAGGCGGGTCCAAGTGGCCGGACGGAAAAACCCAAACAAATCCACCGCGAAGGTCTCACCTAAGACCAGCCACAACACGGGCCAGAGCAGAATAGGTCAATCCGCGGTGGGCCACTGAGCAAGTCCGGATGTCGCAGGCTTGCAGATATCAGGATGCTGACAATCAGTGTCAGTTCAAGCTCTTGCTGAGCCCCCAAGAAAGGATTATTCCTTGGCTCGACTGGCTTGGCTGGTCTCTCTTCCTTCCTTATGCTATGCGCACGGCCGGATTGTCAGTGTAGGAAGTGTGGCCTGAAGATTGGCCCACACAGCAGCTAGGAGCATGGTTGTGGCCCCGCAAATAGCTGGCTTCTTTTGGTTTTGCTTTAAGCCGAAAAGGTTACCCATAGAGAAACACACAGCTGTTAATTTGGATTGTCAAATAACTTGTTCCAAAGGGCCCTCAAAAGCCACATCAATTTTGCCTCTTTTGAATTTCATGGCCAGGCCGGAGAAGTCCGTGCTGGGGAGCACCGGGAAGCGCGGAGCCCCGGCGCGCAGCTCGATCACCTAGTGCCGGGGGGAGGGGGGTGGGGGGGAGGGGGGTGGGGCGGGGACTACTTCCCTCTCGGTTCACCTATCACCTGAAAACAATTTGGGCGGGGGGGGGGTAGCAAAGGTAACTTCCCCATTTCATGTGGCCAGGAATGGCTGGTTTGAAAGGGTTGAAAAGAATGAGGAGTCATTTCCTGGGACATGAGTTTGATTCCATATGATCCTGGAGCTGGATATGTTGACTTTCAATGCTTCCGCTGGCTTGGGCTGCACAAGTATACCGAAGACTGAATTTTCAACATGCCGTTGCAAAGCACAAATGCACATATCGTGGTCAGATTCAGCTGGACCGGCTTTGATCGTACCACCGAGCTGGGAGAACACCAGTGGAGACAAATAGCATGAACACGATGAGCAATGTTGCTGGGAACACCGCAGTCAAATGGTTGTCAGGGGTTCCTATCAGGTTCCCCGGCCGAATTCAAGTAAATCACCAGGCTTTCCCCATGCTGAAAGAGGCAAGGCACTGGCCCCTCCTTGTCGCTCAATGATCAGAGTTACCGGCAACTCTCCGGGTGGGTGAAGGGTGGTAAGGGACAGCTTGGTAGGGACAGCTCTGTAGAAGCCTTTACCGCGTTTGATTGTGATTCACATGTCTGTTTGCTTTTGTTTTTGCCAGTGTTCGAGTGCTGTCAGTTTGGGTTTGCAGATGTTGGGTATCCTTTTCAATTTGTCCCCACTTGCCGCAAAGCAGCCTGGACATGACTTTCTATCTAGTCATGGCAGCTCGTCAGTGCGGGTCCTTCAAAGCAGCAGGCTCAGAACCAAGCTCTTCCTTGAGCATTCAGCACGTTCCGTGAAAATGATATTGGCTTGTTGGTTTGGTGTCCGTCTTGACGTTGAGAATGGTGAAATGGTGAAGGGGGGGAGGGGGGGGAAGGAATGTGTGTTGAGTCAGCGGACGTGTCGGATCTGCGTGCAAGAACAGTTGCTGGGGCGCTGGTTTTACTGTAGCAATTTGAGCGCCCATTTGAACTCCACTTTTTTGTTTAAAGTGCATAGAGAGGGACCGAGCTGTGCAACAAATCAAGTTGACCGCCACTTGCGATGCTCACAGGACGGGACATCTTGCGACTGATACTGTGCGCAGTTTGGTGCTGTTTGCATTAATGCCAACATGTTGAATTTCAGTCATCAAATTCCAGTGAAAACAGTCGTTTGCGAATCTCTTGTGAGTTAGGGTTTCCCTCGTGCACCACGCTTGGAGAATTTAAGGGTACCTCGGCACAGGTCGCTGGTGACAACTCCAAGGCGGGCAAATGGGATTCAGAGGAAGTGACCATATGCGAACAAGGAAGGTGATATCAATATCGTTTTTTACTGACTTCCAGGGACCCTCACATTGGATGGCTTGAAAGGGGAGGCCACATGGACACCGCCCATGTGTTTTGCGTTAGGACACACATATCATCGTGCTAAGGCCGCCAAGAACGAAATCATTATTCGAAAGACACCATTTTGAGAATCGCATTGCCTTAATCAGAGACTGGTCGGTCGATCCTCGCCAGACCAACCTCCGACCATGTAACGAAGAAGTTTGCCTTGCCATATGTATGTGGTGAAGTTTTTGTCTAGTGATCTTCAATGGCCCGGTGAAATCACCGCGCGGATCCTCGGATTTGTTTCCTTGAATTATGTGTCAACTGGATCATCACTAGCAGTATGTAGCAACCCTTTATCCTTGGAACCCGTAAGGATAAAACTGTGCATTATGTTACTTCCGAAAACAAATCCGGTTGTTGTTCACCAGAGCCATGACTGGCAAAAGCGCTCCGCCAATTTTGATACTGCGCTGCGTTTGCTGAGCAGTGTCATGCAGCAAGATCTCTTACCTTTTCATATGCGCGAGCATCCCTGTTTTTTGCAGCCATATGGCGATCCAAGACGCGTTGGAGGCCTCAGGATCCGCCCAATGATGCGCTGTCAAGCAGAGACTCAAGATGCCCTTGCCAATGGCTATCTTGCTTCAAATATTTTGCCTTGAATGCAAACAGCCTTGCAAGCACCATGGCAACATCTAGGTTCTTTTTCCCCCTGGCAGAGCGGTAGAAAAGTGACACGCACAAGGCTATATCTGCTAGATACCAAAAGACAACCGCCAGATACGGTCACACACAAGGACACAGCTCGAGCTGGTGCCTTTGCTGTGCAAATCTGAATTTACCCTCCAACGCAACCGTGGTACCGCACTCTTGTGAATTTTGACCTTTATGGAGTTACTTTGATTTCCCAGAAGCCTATATTTTGCGATCGCTACTTACAGCCACTTGACAGATACTCTTGGATGTTCCATGGGTTTGCTGGTGGTTGCGATTTACCGCGACACCTCTACATGTTTCCTTTTGTCCAATCTGGTATCCTAGTACAGCATTCATGTATATTTCACTCAGCTCACTTTGTTGAGCCCCTAACGTGTCGCACTGTATCAATACATTGTTGTGCCGGCAACCGACTGAGCAAACGTGTGGTTGAAATGGTCGCCCAAACGTCACAAAGCACAAAGGGATATTGGCACGGCAACCCCTGGACTTAACTCAATAAGACAAAAGCGACATCTCGGTCATTGAATTCCCTTACAGCAGCCTCCAAACAATGGATCCCCAAATCAGGAAGCCCGTGTTTTGCATCAGGTTGGCGCCAACAGGCGGCGAGGATCCCGGGGACCAGCACGAGAAGCTACGAGAGCAAGCGGAGGTCGGGAGACCGGTGCGTTGGTAAGGTTTTTTCTGCTCAAGTAGTTCTTGGTTTTGC